TCAAAATACAAGCTATTCTCAATTTATCGTAGCGGAGCCAATCTTAAGGTCATTGTGTCCCCCACCATCCTCAGCTCAGGGCTTTGAAGAAGCAGAGAACACAGAGAGCTCAGTCCCAGAGCCCTCCTGTCCCCTCACTTCCCTCAGCTACAGTCCTGATGTCCTGGGCTGTCTACCCGCCCTGCAGAGCTGGTGGACCTTAGCGCCTAAGGATCACACCTACCACTAGGCCACTATTTTTTTTGCAGCCGTATTCGCGTCATTCTGGGGGCCCACAACATCAGGAGGGAGGAAAGGACCCAGCAGCGCCTGTCTGTGCTCAGAGCCATCCACCATCCTCAATATGATCCGCAAAACAATCTGAATGACATCATGTTACTGCAGGTATCACCTGCATGACCCTCTGGTTCTCCCACTGAGCTGGCTCCCTCCCAGCTTGGGGACTTCATTTTGTCCCTGGGACCATGGAGGAGGAAGCCGGGGCGGAGTCCCAAGGGGTAGTGGGGGTGTGGTGTGAGTGCTGCACAGACAGTCCCTGAGTGCCAGTTCTCTTTATGCCAGCTGGAAAATAATGCCAGACAGAATCGATTCGTGAGGCCAGTGGCCCTGCCTCAGACACGGGTCAGGCTGAATCCTGGGGCCTCGTGCACTGTGGCCGGCTGGGGCCTGGTTAGCCTGAACAGGAGAACACACAGGCTCCAGGAAGTGCGACTGAGAGTGCAGAGTGATGAGGAGTGCATGGAGCACTTTGGTGTCTACAATGGCCAAAGACAGATTTGTGTGGGGGACCAGAGGGAGAGGAAGATCACCTTTCTGGTAAGGCCACCGGCATCTGCCAACACTGCCCAGAACAGAGGGGCCTGGGCAGAAGTGGGCAGTGGGAAAAGCCTGCATCCTATGGCCTCAGTCTTGGGGCCTGACCAGAGTATGGTGGGGGCTTTTTCCCATCAATCCACTGTCTGGTGAAATGAGAGGAGCAGCAGACACACAATGCATACATATGCAGTGTTTTCATGTAAAAGGTAAAGGTAACTTTACCTGAGTTGAGCTGGAGACAGTAACTATAGCCAGGGTTGAAACACAAGCAATTAAAGTTCTAGAAGCTTCACTTCTGCACCCCACCACCTTCCCATCTCACACGCACCCAGCAACTGAAGGAGCCCACCTACACTGCCTCTCTGGGGGCTGGGCTTTGGGGAAGCAGGAGTGAGGAAGCCTGGCTTAGTGTCCCTTCTTCTGGTTGCCTACAGGGGGACACTGGAGGCCCCTTGGTGTGTAACAATGTGGCCCAGGGTGTCGTCTCCTACGGAAGAAGTAGCGGGACTCCTCCAGCAGTCTTCACCAGAGTCGCACGCTTCCTGCCTTGGATAAATAATACAATGGCCCGATTTAAACAGCAGTAGGCAAACTGAAACTAGTAGCACTGACTGTTCTGAAATGGAGGCCAGTCCAGCGGAGTTGCCAGAGCCTTAATAAAAGTCCTTGTCTAGAGTGGAAATACCAGTTTCTCATTTGTTCATGAAACATCGTTCAGCACCCAACAAGTGTATCCAGGACTGAGTCTGAGCTCCTCTAGGAAAATGAGGTCTTTTCCCCAGGACAACTGAAACCTCCCCACACGCCATCCTGTGGGACAGGATGAGCTATTTCTCTCCTCCAACCCATCCATTCCCCTCCCCCACACACAACGCCCACAGCCTCAGGGACTGATGGGAGGACAGATGTCTCCCCAGGGCAAGCTTCTTTACTCCCTGCCCTACCAGAGGCTCCCCTACCAGATATTAAAATACATTCTAAAACTATGTGCCACTGGTGTGTATAGAACAGGCAGAGCAAGGGGACAGAATTGAAATGCCATACAAGGTTCAATTTCATATGTGGCAAAGGCGGTGTCTCAAGTCACTGGGAAACAAACGTTTAATGCATGGTGTTAAAACAACTGGATAGTTGGGCAGGGGGAGATAAAATGGATCTGCTCTTCACACCATAATCCACAATAACTCTCAAAGAGATCAGAGAGCTAAATGGAAATAATTAAACCACACAAGTCCTAGAAGAAAGAAAAGATCTGCTTGCTTAAAACTAGTTAATGAACATCAATGTTCACAGCAGCACTATTCACAACGGCCAAGAGATAGAAGCAACACAAGTGTTCATTTATAACCAGAGTCCTTCTCCCAAACCCTCATACCACCTAAACCACACTATACTATAGACCAATGTCCACATTTTCAATGTGACAAGTGTCTGCTTCCTGTTTGATACTCTAAAGTTATACAAAACTCCACCCAAAATGTTGACTAAATTAATATCACTCTTACCCTAAAGATTAGCCCATGACTGTCTACACCTATGTTACCAAGGTCACATATTTTAAAATCTTGTTTTAAAAAACCTTCTTAACGTGAAGTTTCTTCTATGTCCATCAAATGTTAATTATTCCTTGCATTGTGACATTTACCATCTGCACTTTTGCAATTTCCATGCTCTAAATGGATTAATCACTGAACACATATCAAATCCAACTGGCTAAATACAGAAATGCATTGGTAAGTTTGATCATTATTTTATGGGTATTTCTTTCAGAAAGTCATTTGCCTAACAATCAGTCTAAGCCATTTTCAACAAAATTTTAATCAAAAATGCATCTTTGACAATACTTAGTCGTTCTCTCTATATTTACTGCCACTTGCCCACAGGAATTATCTACTACTTGCATGTTCTGGAAGATAACAGTCTCGTTAGTAAATGTTTGCATTCACAAATGGAAAGAATACTTGATGGTGGGGCAGGGGAGGAGAGAGGGCGCAAGAGCCCACATCCAGCCCTTCCTCTCTGTGACATGTACTTAGTGTCCCAGAGCACCGCCCAGTCTCAGGACTCAGTCCCCAGGAAACATCTAAGGCAGAGCCATCTCATGTCCATGTCTTTCCCTGCCAGTCAGCACCGCCAAGGCGGCTCTCTGCCTCCAGCTGTCCAACTGGAAAGGTTTCTACAGATCTCAAGGTGCTCACCACCCGAAGAAAATTCCCTTCGTGACCAAACCAGAGCCAGCCCCCTACCTCCCACAGCTTTGCACTCCTCCCTACTAAGTAAACTTCAGCAGCAAAGCTTTGGCAAGAAAGTGTTTTAAAGGCACACTGAAACTAGGGCAAAAGGACACAATTCCTCCTGCTGTTTTCTCCAGGTGCATACTCTGTGCATTACAGGCCCTATTGACTTGGCTGGAAAGTCATAAAACCATAACAAGCTCATGTGCAGTAACCTCATGGGTAACCTGTCTCTCAAGCCAGTAGCTAAGGCAAATTCCAGTCTACAGAGGCTAGTGTCTCTGCCCCAGCACAAAGCATCAAGGTCAGGAGAAACTAGACACTGGCCATTCATCATAACTATAGAAGAATTGCAGAGGTGATTGGTGGTAACCTTGACTTTGTCTGGGAAAAAAGTGGGTGCCCCAGGAAAAAGCCATCAGAACCTTAGGTAGGACAACAGGAGGCAGCACCAGCCAGACCCAGTAGCTCACAGAAAACGTCTCTATTATAGAAATGTAGGGGAAAAAATTAGAAGTGTATGAAATCTACTAAATAAATTATAAATGATTTCAAGAATTTACACAGCATGCCCCCCCCAAAAGAATTAAGAACTTCATTAGCCCGAGACTCTATTACAATTGTTTTTTCAAGTTTCCACTGAATTTTCAAGAATATAGTTTTCCAAAGCTACATTATGATCCATTGCATTGATGTACAGCAAATTATTTAATCACTTCCACAATTTAGAAATCTTACAGAGTTTGTTTTGGGAGCTGCTGTTACAACTGCAACAATTAGAATGGGTTTCAGAGGTAACCAACCTCCGAATGGCCCGAATGACCCCCACCTCCTGGTTTTCATTTACACTGAAGAGGGAAGGCTTTGCTGGCATGATAGTTGTCACTCGGAACCCAAATTTCCAGGCAAGGAGAGACCAGAATAACTAAGGAATGTCAGGATGAGCTGCATCTTCACCTTTTCTACCACAGAGACATTGCCCATAGTGCCCACAACATCACTGAGAGGGAAACCACCCAGCATCAAATCCCTGTGCAAAGAGCCATTCCACATCCTGATGAAGACAAAAGACAAGGACCAAATACAACTTAAGTGCCTCATGCCTGCCTTTCTAGCTCAGCACCTGATCAGGCCCCAGCTCCACCTTCTCCTGCAGCCAAACTCATCTTCTGGGTCCCAGGTCACTCAGAGGCTGGTCTGGTACAGGTTCTGTCTGGCTGTAGTCCTCAACAGAGAGCAAAAGATCATTTGCCATCCCTTGCCTCTTCCAGTCATCTGAACACAAGTCTGACCAACTTCTGCTTTGAGGTTTTTCATCTTGCACCAGAGTTAGGATTAGGTGGTATAGAGGATGATGTGCAGAGAGTCGGCTGGGGATAGTTGGATGATGGCAACTATCCAAACACACCCCAGGAAGTGGAAATACCGGTACAGCAGGAGCACAGAGCATTGTGACTACAACAGCTCTGACCAGTTGTGTGTGGGAAGTTAGATGTGGGAAATCTAAAAGAAAATGTTTGGTAGCTAGTCAGACATTAGCAACAGGGGGGACAAAGGAATAGGGACCCAGCCCAGAGATCGCCCAAAGAACAACTTATTGGTAGTTAGGGAATTCTTCCTGCATTCCCAGAGACAAAAGACAGGAAGGTCGTAGCCTTAGCTGGCCTAATCTGGCTACAGACGCCTGTGTAGAAGGTACTACCCTAATCTGCCTACAATTTAAGCTTCATTATAATATTATGTTTATGCCTGGAAATTCATGAATCTAATTATAACAGACTGAATTCTGGGTAAGCACATGCGTACTAAGTACATGTGGCCAAGTGTCAATCAAAATAACTTCACTCACCAATCACCTAAGAATGCCTTTGTAACCACCCATCACAGCCCCATATATAATGCAGATCTCTCCCACCTCTTCCCCTCCACCCCAACCCGGGGTCATAGTTCTACATCTTCCCTGGCTGTAACCTGTACCTCCCCCAGGGGTATGTAACCTTGTTTCCACTTGGTTAGCCAGTTTTAGGCTTGACCTGTCTTCTACCTCATAATGTGCTTTTAATAAACAAATATTTCTCATATTCACTGAGTTGAAATTCATTTATTCAGCAGTGAAAAGGACCTAGATGTATGTGTGTTATCTGAACTCCGATCAATGGTAACAAGAAGAAGGCTATTGCAAGGGTAAGGTGACAGATATGACCCAGTGGCAAAAGACACCTAGAGGCACCTGGGAAGATTATGCCCACAGTCTACAGGACCTGTTTACCAGGGTCCACAGGATCCCCCATCCAGTCTAGGTGATGCAGGACAAGACAAATTTCCCTGAGTTGGTTGGAGGAGACCAAGCCCTGCACCGAGAAGAAGAGGATCCTTTGGCAGAGAGTGTGAAAGAACTCAACATAAACACCGAAGTTAGAGTCAAAAGGAAAGTTTATTAGAAAAAGGGTAAACCCCACAGAGTGTGGTCTCCTCTCAGAGATAGAGAGTGAGGTAGACAGTGAGAAGGACCCTGAATGTTCAGGGAATTCATTTCATATATCATTCTATAGTTCCCATGAGTTATAGTTTAAAAGAATTCATTAACCCATTTCCACTTCCTTTCATATGGATATACAGTGAGGGGCGGGGGAGTATGTAGTGTGAAAAGGTAAGCATATGTAGAGTGAAAGGCCTGCTGGCAGCTCCCAGCCTTTAATCCATAGGTTTCCCATGTGTTCAGCCATAGGGAATGACTCTTGGTTCCTGTTTCCCCTTCACAGGTGTGGGGAATGGGTTGTTAGCAATCCTAGCAGAAATCTTCCTTTGTTCTACAGGTGTCCTCCTGGCCTGGCTGCAGGGCTGATCAGCATATTGCAGTCTCTGAATGTAGCTTGATTAACATTTTTAATTCTCTTGCCTCCTCCCTATATTATATGGACCTTGTTCTCAGGAAGACACCAGAGAGCTGGAGATAGCAATCAGGACTGGGGCCAGATGCTAATGGCCCCTCTCTCTCTTTCTCTGTCTCACACATTAAGAATTTCCTTTTCAGACAACAAAGAGCCAGAGCAGAGAGGAATGAAGAAAAAACAGTCTGCATAGAGGGGAAAGTGGAGGATGAGAGCTGGGACTTGCCTCTCCCTGTTCCATATGGAGATTTCAGAGACCCTTCTGTGTGAAGCCCAGGATAGTATCCAGTGAGATACCTCCTCAGTCTGCACCAGGATCCCAATCATTGCTCCATGAGTATAAGAATTATTAATCTCTCTATAACCCTGCATCCATCTGATGCTTAATCTATGAATTACCCATACTTGAAGTTTCCTTAATACACCAAATCTCGAATAAGAATGGACTAACTTAGAGAGTTTGGAGAAAAATGGCAGAGTGAGAGACATCCCCAGATCTCTCCCTTTGAAACAACAATAAGCTGAACATCTAAAACTCAACAA